GGGGAAGTCACCGCTCCAGTCCCAGACCGAACCGTACCGGATGGAAGGGCACCGGACCGCACCCCTTCTGGCCCCGTCCGGTCCAGTCCGGTCCGGGGGGATGGTGCCAGACCCGGCAAACCGGACCGGGCTGGACGCTCGTCCGGTCCGTCCGCTTGCAAGTATGGTCTAAACCCTACCCCCCGCAAATGAGCCTCATGGAATCCCAAGCATTCTCACCTCTGCTTGTCTTGTTTCTATCCAAACCCTCACCCCTAAACCCTAAACCCTAAACCCTAAACAAGATTAATCCTTTTCCATCTGTTCCGTGTGAAACATCGGCTGCCGTCTGTCGCGCGTGTATCTTGGATGCTCTTCTAGGCCTAGATCGGCGCTGGTTCCTCATGTACCTGGGTATTCTGCTGGAATACAGACTTGACAGAATTGTGCCACTCTTTCCATCTTAAAACGTGCCCATTTAGCCATGCCACTTTGTCACCTACCAACCAGACCCACTTGAATTTGGCAAGTGTCACCTGTTCTGTCTCTGGACTGTTCTGTACCCAGAGTATAACCTTTCTCCAATGACAGAGGATTTCCGCTTCAATCATCTCTTTGGTTGCTGCCCACACTTTCTTCCGTGGGTTCTTCGTGCCGTCCAGTGTTCTGCTGCATCTTTCCTTCCATATGGCCCACAGCGTGACCTTGCGCACCATCCCGAACCAGATTTTCTCTGATTGGCCGAAGTTAGGGGGTAGATTAGTCCAGAGGAGCAGTTGAAGGGGGTGCTCTGGGAGGGGAGACGAGAAAAGACTATCCCATAGTGCTGCTGCCCTTGCCCAATACTCTGTGGCTTCTTTACAGTTAATTAGGCAATGTATCACATCTTCCTGTTCTTGATCTGTGCAGACTGCACAGATATCAGAGCTGGTCAGATCGTTCTTTCTTCTTCTAACATGTAGCCACTGGTTAACCGGTAGGGCAACGTATGTTATGAGCCACTGCATACTTCTGATTTTTATAGGTTTCATCGTTTTATATTTCTTCCATGCAGTTTCTGTTTCTTCATTTCCATTATAAGAATAAAAACAGGGCTGGGCCGGCGACTGGCCGGTTCTGCTGGCCCGGACCTGACCGGGCCAGATCGATTGAGATAGCCCGGAATCCCCAGCGATACACCGGCCCCTCCCCACAGTTCCGTGCGTCCCACCCGGTCCTGTCCTGTCACTGATTTCTCTTGGGCCCATGAACAGCATTACGCGGGCCCGTACAGTTTCTGTTTCTTCTTTTCCTTTATAAGATTAAAAACAGGGCTGGGTCGGCGACCAGCCGGTTCTGCTGGCCCGGACCTGACCGGGACGGATCGTTTGAGATAGCCCAACCAGAATTCCAATTTTTTTTCCTTGTGTTTTTTGACTGCGGGATCCGACTGCACTCATCGAGAGCAGTCAGAATCTGCAATAAAAAGTTTGAATTAATGCCTTTTTTTCG